ACAGTTAATGACAATTGTTGTTTTAAAATGATCCCTAAGCTGGTCGGTATCGATACAAACCGATTTCGACCGGTTGCTTGACTGAATAAAAGCAATTCAGTCCACGAATATCAACGAGAAAACTTGATTTTAGCTGCAATTTTAATTCGCCAATTGGCCCTGGCTTTTTATATGAACAGCCCGACACCTTGAGGCAGAGAAACAATTGGGATTATGATCGCGACAATTTTAGTTGCGTACACAGTTTAACGGCACAAGCACCGTTTTATAAAAGTTACAGTCCCTGGATCGCCTTAGATGAAATATTGACAATTGGATTTTCGCACATTCATATAATCAGTCCTCATGTTTGAATTGAATTCCGCCTAGCCTTGTGGCCTTAGATATATTATCCTCTCCGCTGGGTTCGAGTCCTGTCTGGGGTGCTGAATAGATGACGAGGTGAAACCGAAGCTTTGGTACAGCCGGAATGAGAACGGTTGTCTAGGGTACATAGTGAAGTCAAGGTTTATTTTCAATTTTTACAGGCAGGAGTATTATCAGAGGCAGGAGAAACAAATCAAGTCGGGTTCACACTCCTACAACAATAAAGCTCTCGATGGGTGCAAAATAGAAAGGTTACTTTCTAAAAATCGACCACTCAATAGAGCTCCATCATGAATTGGAGCGTTTCAAGTGGTCACGCATGAGAGAGCCAGATAAATTGTATTGGCGGATAAGTGAACTTATAATCAGACGTTAGCTTAGCTAAAAATCCTAGCTCAAGCCACACATGTTATATTAATCTCCTTCACAAAGTCTTCGTCGATATTATACTCCAGCTGTTGCCACTTCGTAGGCGCTTGCACTAGATTTTTTTGGCCCATTCCAGTCTATTGAGGACGCCTCGTGAACCTAGCGGCATCAATCATTTAGTTCACCTTGCCATCCGGAAGCACTAATATACGGTGGCTGTAGTATTCAGACTTAAGTGGTTACGTCTACAAAGTTGCGAAATCTTGCCTTGGCTCAACGGAACCCGAAATAACCTTGTAATGGCCAATCGGTATGTGGAGCAATTCCACCTCAAAAAAATATGAAGAGAATTGGTTTCGAAAAATTCATTAGTGATATATTGTGGCATGACTTTCCATTTCGTAGGAAAAGTTGGTTAGAAGGAATTCGTAACGTGGTAGCATCGGAGACCGAAGGAGGATTGCCGCGCAGGAAAGACTGTTGAATTGTGCGACAAAATACTCGGCTTACCGTCCTACGACCCCGATGCAACTGCGCTAGGCTTTCGTCTGTACTGAGGTAGGCATCATCAAAGCAAGAATTCATACTTTACGAAATAGAGCAAAAATATACTAAAGTAAGAGGAGAGGTGGCCGGAGGCAACAC